TCCTTCAGTCTTTAATTCATTTTCATATTTCATGACTTGACATAAAAAGTAATTTAGTACTAAAACGATAATATTTCTTTACTCTTATCTTATCAAATATACTTCAAACTTTCATTGCATTTTTTAACTTACAATGACTTTAAGCTTTACCGAAAGTCATTGCTAAGTTGAATTTATCGTTTTTAACATCAGAAATAAACGGCTTGGTGCCTTCGGGGCTGATTTTTTCCCGTTGGATTCATTGTTTTATCTTCAAAAGATTTATTTTGATTATGTCTAAATGTACGAGCTTAAATCCACCTGTAAGCTGTGAGACCACTTCGACCGGCGTACTGAAATATTAATCATATCTGTGCTACTCAACACAGGCCCACACAATGTCATCACTCTCCTCATAGGCTGACATATAGTCAATATGACTTTTAACATTATTAACCTACACATTTCATAAATCCTATGCAATAATATGATAGATGTTCTCTCAATACTACAGAACGTTTAATGGAATAATTTCATTGTAACATGTATTTTTTAAGCATCCCCACAATGCGAGTTCTATATTTAGAATGGCCGAGTAGGAATTGGRAGAGCCTTAGAGGGGTCACTGTATTTGACACCTTTAATCAATGTACTCCCTGCTTTAATACAACCTGATGCAAATAATAGGTATTTTAAGGACAGCAATCAAGAGAATACTGCCCAAAACTACGCCCATTGCAATAACCAGGGCATCRCCTTCTCGRCAATCCCCAATATTTAAGGTAAAACGTCAGTTGTTTGTATTATAGTATGGGAGTTTTAGAAATGTATAATACAAACATAAAAATTATACATTATGTATTTACAGTTAATTACAAAAACGTTGTCATAGAGAAGTATAACATTTAAAAAAAATACAAAGAAAAAAAGAAAGTAATTCAAGCCAAATGAATAATAATACATTCCTTTTTATTAAAGTAGAAATTCCCTTTTTTCTGACAACGTTTTTGCAATTACACTAAGGTATGAAGTATATAAAGAATTCTTAGAATTATTTCACCTTATAGCTATCTCAACATCGATACATTCTTTACTGATTCATCTAAAACAATTTGATATTTCTTAACTTTTTGAATTAGTAACTTTACCGGCTTTTAATTAATGTATTTGGACAAAGTCACGCTGCACAATTTTCACTAAACACATCAAGTTCGGCACTTCCAATAAATGATAACTATTTAATTTTTTACTCTAACACTGTCCCTTGTTTTGATATTTTGATTTTAACTTAGACAATAAATCTGTCGGATGTTGTTATAAACAAAGCGGAACAACGTAGTACGTATTTATGAGCAAATCGGATTTCTTTACAAACGTATCATACTCTGTTCCCATAACAAGCACATTTGTCAGTAAAGATGTCCATGTTTTAAAACGAAAGCATATTTTCTAAAAATGGCGGGAGTTTATATAAATCAGCTGCCGGCAAAGTAAAATATTCTGGAGTCGAAAGTATGAGTAGAAAAAATATTACGAGAAGCAAAAAACCGCGACATTTTAGCATTTTAGTCATTCCCATTCCATTACGAGTAGAACCCTTAGGCACGTTCATCAATGTCACGTGACGATAAGGTCACGTGATATACCATTGTCGTGACTATACAGCTCACGATGACTTYCTTGCCAAACCAAGATGAATAAGTAAACTATTAGTCACTAGAGTTCATTATCAAGGGATACAGACTATATTGAATTATAGAAGGATAAAACCATAAAACATTTTAATAATGCGTTTGAATTTACTAAATATAAAATGATGACATCTGGAATAAACTTCGATTAATAGTCCGATGGAATAGCCTTAGAGGTGGCCAGACGAATTAAGTTTATATCTACAGGTTTTCKTCAGAATTCTTTGCTTTACACAAGCATTATAACACACGCTTTGTGCCTTGCTAAACATATGGGCCATTGTGGTTCAGTGGTTAGGGAATTCAAACAGTAAGAATAGGGTGCTTTGTTGAAAGAATATTTCAGCTTAGTTCTTTTTCATAGTCAATGAATTAATCTRCAATATTACCATACCAATTTAATAAAAAGGAAGTTTAATAACGGGGAGTTATAGWAATGCCTTTATGAAGAGACTGAGGGTTATTCGTTTTCTATGAGATGAATCAGAAAGTGAATACCACGACACTTCTCATGTCTTATTAAAGAYGGGGTGTATGAAACAGGTGATGTTATATATTAAAGGTATAATATGACCAATATATAGCATAGCTTTAGGGGTTTCAAATGGCACCCACGTCATATACATGTAGTTATAATTCATTGGTTTATTTTTAGTTTAAAACGACGCTTTATTGGAATAAATGAAATGGCAATGAATGTACTTTAATACGCAAAAWGSATYAAATACAATTWGAATCGMAATGACGCACAATTTACGTATAAAAAAATTATGTTTTAGCATTTGAMGAACACTATAAATGCTATGCTTTTCAGAGTTTTGCAATGGCGCGAATAACGGAGATACCATCTTATTYAAGCTTRAATATGGCTATTAATATCGGATTAATTTTTGTTTAAATAGGCAGCCAATTCAGATTGTAATAATGTGACCATAAATTTTTCTATTTGTCTTTGGTTTAAAATGGTGCACATAGATATTATCTAAATTAACCATAAACATGACCGTAAATTTTTATCTCTGTGTATTTTTGTAGGTCTAAAACGGTGTAAAAGCCGCATCGATAATATCTCAGTATATAAATGTTTAAATATGCCACCATAAACTTGGGCTTTTTGGTTTGCAATAATGCAAAAGTAAAATAGATGTTATCATTTTAGCCTTAGCATATCAACAATAAGCTTTCAGAGTAATTTTTATCTTTGTTGGCTAAAGACCTTTTTGCCCATACGGCCGCCATATTGATTAGACGTTATTACCAWTACGACCGCCATCTTGAAAGCATTTTTAAAAAAGTGACTTTTATCTTTCGAAAGACCTTATTGCTAAYACGGCYGCCAATTGATTAAACTTTATTACTAATACGCCTACAATATTGAATACATCTTACAGAGAACTTTTATCTTCGTTTTAAGTGACCGTATTACCAATACGTCCGCCATCTTTATTAGACTTGATTATAAATGCGGCCGCCATATTGATAAGACCGTTTATTACCAACACGGCCCGCCATCTTGTGATAGAGACTCATAGACCTTATTACCAATAAGACCGCCAAAACATATTATTAATCCCAAATTGATTTTATCGATTCTGCATGAAGCTGCCGGTGTGCTTGCATCCCATAATTTCCGGGCAAACCCAAGATGGCGACCTTATTGGTAAACAGATCTATTCTCATGATTTTATTTTTTTGATTTGTTTGTTTGTGGCACAAATATTATAAATTAGCAACGAATAATAACTAAAAAGCTAAAAGACCGGCTTATATGCACGTGTTTACAACACTATGCTTGGGTGGATTAGTTCGTTTAGCACTTCATCATTAGTAGACGCCTATCACGGTATAAAAAGGTGACGGTTGGTTTTAAATGGTGTACAATGCAGGTAGATCCTACACGACCTAACAACAGTTACTATGTTTATTGATATGTATATGTGAGGTGAAGAGGTTGATGGGATTAGAATGGTTTAACACTTACTAGTGCATGACTACTATGATATAACAAGGGGACGATAGTGCACTAGTAGTATCATATTAAGGGACTTGAAACGTGTAACGCCGTGCCAACCGTTGGAATATTCAAATATAATTTGCATCTCATTTCCTTATTTGACCTTATTTGGAACAATTAAATTTACCCTATAGCCAACCAGAACGGGCCTTAAATCTCTTATCCAACGGCCGAATTTTCCAAAGAAATGTACGGGTGTTACACCTTTCAAGCCCCTTATAGGTTTCTGATTCTAGGTGTTTTAGAAAGGAGGGTTATAACCAAAGAGAACTCAATCAACTCTTCTTTAGTTTAGTGTCACCTAAACCTATGGTTTATCAATAAATAATACATATCTATAGTTCATTATCTGCACTTTAAAATCTCGCCACAAACTGACAGACCCACCGATGACATCACAAATGACGTCATAGCATTTAGCTTAATTCAAGTGACGTCGATCTTATGAATAAATAATTTTCATAGCGTAAATTTCATTGCAACTGACCGCTTTATAACAGAGTTGCTCTAAAATATAAATTGATTGTACGTAAACATCGTAATTATGTACAAATTTGTTTGCTATTACTTAATTAGCACTTGTTAGTCCTAATTTAGAAATTAAAATTGCTGTCTACGCTTAGCTGGGTCAATTTCACTTTGTTTTATAAAAGACTTTTGCAAAATTTCTTGAGTCATATTCATTCAGATGTATCCAACGCTTATCATCTATGAGGCTATTTTGAGACTGTAGGTACTTAACCCGTTAAATACAACATACATAAACTGCCGATGTAACAATGTACTATATATAAATGTGATTTAACATATAGCGAATAGTTACACGCTACTTAAATCTAAGAATTACCAATTAGAGGATCGGCATGTTTCATCTAACGTGATAGGTTTTCTAATGGCGTGAACCGTAAGCGTATTTGGCAGAAGCCCATGGACTTTGATAAATTATGAAACAAACTGATAGCTTGCTATACGAAGAGACAACTATCGCCAGACTAGTCTTGTTTCTTATGAAACAGTTGCGATAATAAGATAAATAAATCACCGTTAAAAGAGAGAAAAAATTCTGATATTCTGGACGCTGTTCATTCGTCTGAGTTTTCCTCTCTCTCTCACTCTCTATATTTATTCATTTATTTTCATGCATCCCTAGTCTATCTACAACGGAATTCATCATCTGAAAGTTTCATCAAATTCTCGATATCTAAAAATTAGGCGCTCCTTGCCGATTTTTCTTGTATTACAACTAAGATGACGACTGTGCTTAAGCAATGTAAAATTAATGTGAAACCAAATTTCGATGTAACAATACACTTGGTTAACACTCAATAACAATATTATCAAAACACTTTGATGTTCAAAAAAACTGATTTTCATTGAAGGGGTTGTAATGCTGTGGATATCTAAACATGAGCCATAGAAAGGTGCTAAGTCGGTATCAAAATAGAATTCAAAGCTATCGCGGTCTCGACCGTGCGAATGTTGGCAGCGGCCACTGAAAATATCGCCTTGCTCAATGACGCTCGTAAAACGCCCCTATCGACGCTCAGTAACGATTCACATCGCCTATATTTTAAATAATTTTCAAAGGCTATTTTTTATTTAGTAACAACACTTGACCAGCATGTAAAATTGGTTTCCTTGCTTTAAAAAAAACGCTTTGACCAGAAGCCTGTCTCAGACAACTGAAAACACTTCACCACAGGGGATATTAATTGCAAAAGAATCCCACTCACGGTTCCAATTCCGTTTGATACTGAGAATGTTTATACAGTTAAGCATCTTGAGGTTATGAAACAATAGGGTCTTTGGAGTGTTGTGAATAATGCGGTCAGTGAGGATTTTTGATTGGTTATCTGCAAAGCTTACGGGATACCCACCTAGCAGTTTTGAAAATCTAAAAATATTCAACAAAAAAGTGAAATAATTTTGACATGGATATCGGTATGATACGATCTTTCGTGTTTATATTTACATAAGGATTACATTGGACAAAAAATGTTACTCCAAGCGACAGAAATTGAATGCGACGAAGAAGGAACGAATGCTGCGATGTACGACTTTTAGTGGCAAAACATTAGATTTTTTTTACATCTCAAATCACTGTTAGAATATGATTGGAATAGTTCGAAGTGTTGGCTTTGAATTGTATTACATAATTTCTTCCGTCCATCAAAAGAGAAGAATACCATCATACAGGTAAACTACAATACATGCAATTTTCTTTTCTTAAGGCACTGTATTTATTCTACGAATGACGTTAATGTAGTTAGTAAAATTTTTAAAAAGAATTCGGCCATCGTTTTAATATATACTTGATTATTTTTATACCGTATCAAATGATTGAAATAATCATATAATTTTCCCAGTAATTTTTTTTAGTTTTATTTTTTTTTTTTACGTGCGACTCATACCACGATTCCGTATACTGATTGACATTCAGTTGCCTTGAATACGGACGTGTTGTAAGTAGCCTGTTCTCTAACTCATATAAAAATAGCATTGAAATTTTGCAATACAGCCAACTGTTTATTGTACGCTTATACAAAACGAAAGAGCTAAGCGTAAGTGGAACTGAAGTACAGGCAAGTCCAATAAAAACCAAATTAAATGTTTCAAGTCTCTCAAGTCCTCCATCCACCTTTACTCCAACTCGTACTCAACTCAACAGTAAGTGCATGAATTTGGTAAATCTATTGTCGCAGTGTTTAAACAAGATATAAATTTGAAACCTTAATAGAGCTTTTCGCAAAGCCATCAGTCGCTTAATTCAAGGTCACTAGAACCTCGATTTGAGCTGAATTTACTATCAGAGAATATGCGGCCCTCGCCAATGTAACTGGTTTCACACTAGTGGCGTTGAGATTCGCAAATATTTCTTACTATACCACTTAAATGATTGAGATGGTTGTAAAAACGATTGCTCGTGATATTCGTGGTCGATAGAAGTTACAATTAACAGAATTATTTGACTTTTCGAACAATTCAGACAATTTCACTGTTATATATACGGAGTACTTTGATTAAATGCAATTAAGCTTATAGTCATACCAGAATGCCTTGTATTCTGAAGAAATTACCCTCACTTATTCGATACTATATCTACCTCCAAACCCTTTTTATATCGATGAAAAGGTATGGGATTTTCGACTGAGTGATGTAGAAGGGTCTCGATTTTAGGTCCACAATGTATTTTATGTTTTGAACTATATCAGAAAGGGCAAAAGTTTAAGTTACCAATTCACAAAGAATTATTACTTAATATTACGAAAATATTTGGCAATTTAATTTGATTGAAAAGTCTCTGTCTTAATATAAACTTAAACCTTAAAACACACACATAGAATATTTAAAAAAACAGTATTTCTATCCATAAACTGTCTCTTTTTATGTGCTTATAATAGATCTTAAAGGTCCTAGCTATTCTATTGCGTTATACTCTGACAAATCTGAAAGTCTTGTCCCCAAAAACCCGTCAAAATAGAGAAAAATATCTATCTATTTTTATCTCAAAATCTAATCTCTTCCCCCTCGATGCGCCATTATTGGATATCGAGGTCCAAATCTAAAACTTTCTCGCGAAAACGAAAAACAAAGCCAAAAAAGTAACGGAAAAGAAGAAAAATATTTACGTCTAATTTTCCGCAGATTTCAAAGGGTTATGTTTACTAAGTGCTACCCTGTGGTGACGGGCTTTAACATTTCGTGTACCTTCTGTAGCCAAATAAAAAAATAAACTGGGCAAGAGTGAATTAAAAAATATCAAGTTATTTAGCTTCCGTACGTTGCCAGTGGCCGCCTTAATAAAAAATGAAGTCCAGTGGATTGCCTACTGCGAGAATATCTTTGAGTTTAATTGTGGCGATCGATTTTAATTAAGGAAAAGAGGCCTTAATAATTGGGCAAATTTGTCAAAAAGATCACCACGAATAATAAACATTGACGCCATATGAAAACATTGACTAATGGTGAATTATTATAATGAAATATTTTGATTTAATTATTTCTCTTATTCTCTTTTCCCATTACTTTGTAATTGCTCTTTCCTCTCTTAAATTTGTCTTATTTTTAAATGCAATGTTTCCACTAATGCCTTCCTTGAGTCATGTAATCATTTCTTCATTTCTCGCCCCCCTGAAGTCTCATGCAGCGTTTCCTTTTTTATTTTATTCATTTATTTTTTATTCATTTATTCATTTTTTAATTCCGTTTAATTCTAAATCTTCTTTTCCTTTCTCATTAATTTTATTCTAGCACCTCTATTACATTTGTAGTCGCCTTCTATCGTCTTATATTAAATATATTTTATCATTCAACAGAAAAAAGATTGTAAAGATGTTGTCACCGTCAGAGCTGGTGAACACGTTGCTCTTCTTGTTCTGTTCGTTGTTCCTGTTGTCGGAGTGCTCTATAATTAGTAAGTTTATCCCTGATATGAATATACTTAATCAACTTCATAGAGTAAAATATGTTGCTATCAATTAACTTAATAACCTTGTAAGTGTTGCATCATCACGTAAGAGCGGCCATGTTGGATTGTAATCATGACTGTATTGGTGAACTATATTAGTTTGCAAATTAAATTAGACAAATTGGTGTTAAATCCTTTATATCATACTGTTTGATTAGTGGAATTTTGTGGATTTTCTTACAAAATGTTTTATAGATATAATGAATCTTTTTATTAACATGGACGCCATCTTGAATTGTGACGCAATTATGAGATCTTCAAGTCATGAACGTACAATGTACAAACGTGGAATCCTTTTTATGATATTATTATAAAGTGAATTATTACGTCCAAACGTCTAAAGATATTATTTACAACAATTTGTGATTTACTATTAATTTTAATAATAATTAATCAAACCCCCATTATATTATTTTAATTTCAGGTGATCCAAAATCCACAATAATATGTATAACTGAGCCCACGCAGTATAACTTTACGTTTGCACTTGGGATTAATGCTGGCACCTTTCAAGCAATTGACACAGCCAGTAAAATGCCTCAATGCATTCGAGAATCTTGTCGGCGGAAAGGCGGCCAAGTTGCATTTGTTATTGAAAATAGCTGCTTTATGGTCAGTTGTGACAATGCCGATCAATGCCGAACGGTGCCCGACGATTCTCCGAATTTTTTACGAACAGAAATAACGCATTATAAATCATTTGGTGAGTATTCTGCCTGCGCCATAACAAATGATCTTTACAGAAGGTTCCATTCGTCTCCTCCTCCCTCCTCCCTCCCCTTCCCACAAACACACATCCACCTACAAGGGGTCTCCATCTATCCATCTTAGTAGCCCACAAATGCATGAATCAAATGTCGTTTTTTCAGATGCCGCTCCCGAAATTCAAGCTCTTCCTGACACTGTTTATGTGAGCGAGAACAACATGCCAAATGAGAAAGTTCTTGATCTCTTTGGAACAGCGATCAGTCGATCAACATTCGAGCGTCTCAATCCAAGCAACGCGTCAGTATTTTTTAGCATAAAGAAAGGTGAGCGATAAAGAGCATTCAAAATCGATGAGTAGAGGTGTCCATAATATCGGGGTGTCCGTAATATCAAGTTGTCCGTAATATCGGAGTGTCCGTAATATCAAGTTGTCCGTAATATCGCCATCGGGGTGTCCGTAATATCAAGTTGTCCGTAATATCGGGGTGTCCGTAATATCAAGTTGTCCGTAATATCGGAGTGTCCGTAATATCAAGTTGTCCGTAATATCGGGGTGTCCGTAATATCAAGTTTTCCCTAATATCGGAGTGTCCGCAAGGCGAAGGACTTTACTATATTACTTGTATTTTATAGGGAATGTTGGCAACGCTTTCAAGATTCTACAGTTCCCATACTCAAATAACGCTTCGCTAGTTACGAACACTCGCCTGGACAGAGAAAATGTGTCGTACTACTACCTAACAATCCAAGCAACAAACGTAGAAGAACGAAAAACCAGTACAAAGACACTGCGAGTCCAAGTAGTAGATCGTAATGACAATGCCCCGGTGTTTCCAAATCCAAATTACCGCAAAACAATCTACAGTAATATCTCTATTGGAACTGAAGTATTCAGAGTGAACGCTATTGATACCGATACCGGAGCAAATGCACAAATACGGTATTATTTAGCCAATCATAAAGCACAGTTCAACATCGTGCCGGAGACCGGGATTATTGTACTGAAGCAAAAACTCCGTATAGACCGCACTTTAGCGTATACTTTGATTGTTGCTGCAATTAACGGGCCACATCGCGCTATAACAACAGTGAGAGTCAATGTTATCGCGGTCAACGAATTTAGACCTTACTTTCAACGACTGAATTACAGAGTGCAGGTGTCCGAGGCGGTTGAAATAGGGACATCAGTGGTTCGGATATCTGCCATGGATAGCGATACAGGGCTTTTTGCAAAGATTAGGTACACAATAATCAACGGATCAAAGACTTTGTTTGAAGTCGATGAAAATGGCGACCTTAGGAATCTGCAATCTTTGTTCGGCATGGGCGGGAAACGCTTTACCTTAAAAGTTGGAGCACGAGATGGGGGGAACCCACCCCTTCACGCGCTCCAGGACGCAAAGATTGTCATCAATGTCATCAGGATGGATCGGCACAAAGTTAAGTTCGACGTGCCTAAATACAACATTCCTATATTGGAGAATATCCCAGTTGGTTCTAGCATTCTCACCGTGCGTGCTATATCTGGTTTGAGTCCAGAAAACCTAGACAACTCTCGCCGTGCACAGAGACGGTTCGGTAAGAGCAGCAAAAGGATTGTGTACACTATCAGTAACAAGGATTTGAGTTCCAGGTACTTCAGGATTGGTAAACACACTGGTACAATATATACGAACAGAAAAATAGACTACGAGAAAAACAAAGAGTTCAGGTAATGGAACTTATCCAAGGTTTAGTGCTTTTGATTTTCATGGCAATCGACTCTTCTTCTCCATCGACAAATCAACCTACGAAATGTGATAGTCTAGTGCTTCAGGTCAACAGGCCTGTGTTCGATACATATCCCTTTTTTATTATTTTTATTTATTTTTTTTATTTATTTATTTATTTATTTTTTCATTTTGGTTCCTGTATTAATCGACCGATGGTTGTTCGTTGTAGGCTCAATGTCATTGCGAAAGATGTCCAAGCAAAGAGACGTGGGCATCGCATTCAAAGAGGTAACAATAATTGTCCTCCAATCACTATTTTCACTGTCATCGCTAATTACCATTACACTTAATATTTCAGATAACGCCACAGTGACAATCAAAGTCATTGATCTCAATGACAACATACCAACATTTGTTCTATCATTGTATGAAGAGATCGTCAACGAGAACACTACACTAGATTCCTCAATACTACGCGTAACCGCTGTGGACGCTGATTCCGGGCTCAATTCCAAAATCCAATACGCCCTTTTACATGGCGATGACGAAAACATTTTTACACTCGACTCGAACGACGGCACACTGAGACTGCGCAAGTCATTGAGTGGATTTCACAATAAATTCTTCAACCTCACCATTGTCGCTACGGACAAGGGAAAACCGCCAAGAACATCTCGACCCGTGTCCGTTTTCCTGAAAATTCGACGGCGTCATATAGGCGGGACTGTGTTGCCAACTTTAACAACTAGACATGAGATTGAAGTGAATGAAAGCTGCCCTGTGAAAACTATTCTGGCTACCGCTGACCAGCTGCTGGCAAGCGGCGGTAATGGAGATGCATGGCGAGATAAAAGTCGTTTTAGTTACTTCTTAGCGGAATACTACATGTCTCAGTGCAGTGAGAGGTATTACTTCGACGTTAATTCTCGAGGTGAAATAACACTAAGAAACAAATTGGATTATGAGAAGATGAAATCGTGTGCTTTTTACTACACTTCTATAGGTATGTACATTGGAAAATATCGCGCGCTTTTTAAAAAGGTTGTAAATTTGATGTAAATATGATGTACAGCCTTTTGCACAAATTATGAGACATTTCTATATATATAAATATACCTAACCAAATATCAAAAACACCCAAGAAATTATGGGATACCGTCGCTGATATTTTGTCTGTAACAACCTGATGCTAGGCAATCATGACAAAATATCAGCGACGGTATCCCATAATTTCTTGGGTGTTTTTGATATTTGGTTAGGTATATTTATATATATAAAAAATTCTCATAATTTGTGCAAAAGGCTGTAAGTGTCCAAAATTCTGTAATGAATTTAATGGAAATCATTTACATCAAATTTACAGCATTTTGGACTTTTACATCACATTTACATCAAATTTACAACTATTAAATAGTGATAATAGCGACTATGCATTTCATTGGCTGGTTTACTTTTATATGAAAAAAAAAAACTAAAGAGATCGCCCGCACTTTAAAGACTATAGTCCATCAGCATCCTTTTCGAGCTTTATTCTGTGTTTGAAAAAAAAATACACTGTCGTATTAACTTACTTTTTTTCAACTTTTTATTGACGATTTTTAAAATGTCTTTCTAGATTCCGCCAACAACAAGCAGGGTGGTATTGACAGAACCATAGTTGTTGTGAAAGTCTTGGATGTGAACGATAATCGGCCGACATTCCGACAACACAAGTACAATGTTTTATACACGAGTGAGCCAAAATTGTTTTCAACTGTCGCTTCTGTTAAGGCTTTCGACGACGACTCAGGGGAGTTTGGCAGAATGACATACTGGATGAAAGGAAACCATGATGGTTATTTTAAGATTGATCCTGAGTAAGTAATAAATGATGTTTTTTTTCATTTTTTCGTCGCAGAGATTTACGTATAGGGCTGACCGCAAAATCGCAATGTAAACCTTACAAGAAAATGCGTTATTGTGACGTTTTTATGTCGTTCTACGTATACAAGAGAATAAGAACAGCTCTACAATTCAAACTTACTCTTTTAAACGATAATCACTATCATCACCATCATCATAACCACCATCATCATCATCATAGCCATTATCAACTCAGCCGGCTATTTTAGTGCATCAAACGTCTATTTCCCACACAGTGAAAGCATGAAAATGGGATTAGGTTTCCAGTTGAAAGTAAACAAACAATCCCAACAAATCAAAGTGTGAGAAATCAGCAATACAATGAAAACACATAAGTGTCAGTGGGTATATAGACACAATTCGTACATGTAAAATATATTGCTTTTTCAGAACTGGTGTCATAAAAGTAGCCAAAGACCTCCAGCACAAAACTCTTGGTCTGTTCCATATGAGTGTTTCAGCACATGACCATGGTAAACCTCCACTAGTAAGCAGAAGGGAGGCCGATGTGAATGTACTGGTTTTTCAGCCATACAGTACTCCAACAATTTTAGTAGAAACAACAGATCAAACAATGACAATGCAGTTTAACTTGAAGTATGTTGACTTGCAAAATGTTGCAAAGTTTGTCATCATTGTACAAGAGCATGCCCCAGATCAAGATATGTGTGAGTATAGAAATATATTGATTAATAATAATAATATTAATTAGTTAATATTGATTAATTATCAATTACTAGTTTATTCATTTGTAAGTATTAATAAGTGATTTTGAATAGATTGATAACTAAGTTCTTTAGTGTTTAGTTAGAAAAACAGTTTGACTTTAATGGCTGAATATGGGCATTTATGAGGAAATATATGAAGTACACAGCTACGACTAGCTACAAGGGTGCTTTAAATGATTAACATAAAAAATTGCTAAGAATGCTGCTATATAATACTACTTATACTTGCAAAGCAATTTGTTATCTCAAATAACCAAATACTGTTGTTTTGAAGTTGCCACATTACATTAATCAAAATCAAAAAAGCACCAATCCTCAAAAACACATTTAAAAATCCAATTTGTTTTGTTTTTGTTGGGTTTTTTTAGTGGATATTTTCTTATCAAATGAATAATTTTTTTGCTTTTTAGTCACTGAATATACCAAATTAAAACCATTAACATGGTATCTTGTCAACTTCATCCGGAAAGCAAACCAAAACCTCCGTCGTTACATGAGTAAAGAGGTCAACAACAGTAAGCAAATCACAGAATTTGGTATGTTTCAAGTTACCATTGGAGACCAGAATAACTGCAATAGCAAAGCAAAAGCACGCAATATCTGCAGTGGGCCTCTTAACCCTGGCTCAAAATACAGGTAACTATAAACACGGAGTTTCACGTCCATCACACAACACACGTATAGTTATGCTTTTCATACAAATAACTCTGATAATTACTATAGTACTTTTTAGCTATGTAAGCTTTATATCTGAAATTTGTCAATTGTTTTGCAATGTATTGCCTTTTTCAATGATAAAGGAATAACAAAAATAAGGTTTATACTTGATATATATTTAAAGGCGGAAGAACAGAAAAACATAAAATGTTTTAGGATTTTGTGAGAAATAAGAAGTCAAATAGAGTGTTCAAGTAAAATCGTGAAACACTAATTACTAAATTGTGCAAAGCAGTGCTAGTTGCTTTTACTAGCTAAGAGCGTTCTTTGGCACTGCTTTTAGCATTGCAAGTACTTAACTAAAAGCTGCCCTCTTGTCCAGAAAGTTGCATTAAAAGTTTCAATTCTTTAAGAGAATCTCTACTTTATTATGTGTTAAAATTCAGACGCCTAAACTTCTTCTTCCCCGAATAAAAAAGCAAGAAGCAGACATGTTGTTCGGTGTGGCATACAATTTTCAATAGCAAACATGAAAATATTCCTTACTACGACACTTTTTGGAGGCAATATTAAAACTTTAAAAGCTTACCTCATTTACATGTCCAATTAGATGTGTTTCAGCTGTTAACGAGTTGGAAATTATCGAATATTTGAAGAATTTTTCCTTGCAAACTTTGCCACGAGTCATCCGCCATATTGAATTTGGCGCGCGCTTGACTAAAATCGACACATGACACAGGGATACCGCGAGAGAAARTGTTTGGCGGGAAAATTCTGAGTTTTATGATTTAATTATTTATGGCGCGATTAGTTAATACTGTCTTTAATACTTTAATATGTACTTATTTGCATTTCTTAGGTTCCAATTACGAATATTTCTCAAAAATACCGGCCCTTTTAAAGAAGAAAAGTTCAAGGACAGCTACTTCTCAGATTCTTTTTTCACTGGTAAGATTGTTGTTGTTGTTGTATTCCGCCTTAGTCACTTCTAATTTTTCAGCCATTGGCTTATTGATTCTTATTTTTTTACGGCGTTTCATGACCAAAACATTCTAATGATTGATATATGAATTTAAAAAAACACAATTATAATTGCTGTATTATTCAAAGTACAAAATTTTGTATTTTTCTTTTTAGGACCTGGCAAAGCAGCAAAGACGTACAGAAAAGAGGGAAGACGTAATTATGATGCTGTTGTTTACAGCGTTGGAGCTGCTTTAGTTCTTGTAATTGTATTGGCTTTCTTAAGAGGATTCTATCGTCTTAAACTCGACAGACTTAGGTAATAATTATCCTTTATTTCTATTTCAATAAAGATTTAAGAATTACATATGAAATTGTTCTTACGCATGGCAGATGGATATAGGAACAGCGCACAAATCAAAGAAACCTTAAGCTCTTATTGACAGTACTATTGCAATGTGCAATGTACAATGAATATAAATGATGAATAGTTAAATCATGAATAGTTAATATGATTATCAGTGATTATATCTTAGGGTGCTTTCCATTTAGGCAGAACTGGCCGGCCATTCCACTCTATTTAGGGGTATATAATGCTTTTTGTCAACATTTTTCAGTCATTTCGAGGTTTTCTGTAGAATAATGGATAGAATTTGAACATTTGAATTTCCTAACTAAATTGGAATGATATATAATGACATTTTCTCTGGGTCTGGCCAGCCAGACAAATGGAAAGCGCACTTAGTCTGATTCAATAATTTTACCACAATAAAAATAATATTTGCTTTGCAGAATCCATGAAGAGAAGAAAAGAAGGATATCATTTCCAGTCAGTAATCCAAGATTTCAAGATCCAGAGTCACCAGTAGAAAAAATCAAAACTCCAGGAGAAGGAAGGTAAGATATATTTAGTAATGCAGTCAACAATTCCCAGGCGTTCCTTGCCGGTTCCGTGGGAGGTTGAGAAATAGGACTTAATCCTTGGGCACTATGAATTTCAAACTTTCATTGGTCAATTATTCGTCAAAGTCTTGGCATAACGAGCCAATTTGGAATGTTGGATGCAGCCACTGATCCAAATTGTTGGACGATATCACGAAAGTAATTATTGGATGGCCAAACGACTTTTAAGTTTTTAAAAAACACTGGAAATCGACGACCACGTGGTCGGTTTATGGATATAACATTTTGATTGGTATATGTAGTCTGACTTGATCGTCGTGAATGATCAGATGATGGTCAAATTGAGCATGCGCGTTAACAATCACTAGTGCATACTGAAGAAAATCAACTTGTACTCGACTATCCATGAAGGTCCGTTGAACATGTTAAAAATATGTTTTCCGTGTTTCAAAATTTCAGAAAACTTATGACGAGTATTCACACCGAGAAGGGATCAGGTAGGAAATATTTTTAGGTTACCATATTTGGCAGGGTGTTTCCAAATTTGGTCATAGCTTGATTAAATCAGAATTACATATTCAATTAACAGAAATTGGAAGAAGTGACGAAGATGAAGGTTCTTCACCAGACTCCGCTCTAGGTACGTTCACCTCATGGCACTCGGAGCCCGCGTATCAAGAAACCATCAGACCAGCGTACTTTGCCTTTGAGTATTAGGACTACGTAACCATGACAGCACTTCCATGATTTGCTATCGAGGTAACGCATGCGCTGTAGACATATCCCATCTTTTGGTCAAACTGTGCGTTGTGCTTCTTGGGTTCTTTCAGGGCATTCTGACCGAATGGAATTGCTCACCAATCATTTTCTTACTTCCTTAAGAACTAAGGTCAGTTCTTCTCAATCTTGTTGTCTTAACACTCTCCTTTTTCAAAAAGTTCTCTTTGGCTTTCGCTAAAAAATCCTTACTCATTAAAGTTCTGACTCATCGATGTATATGACCGTAATAGTAGATGAGCTTGATTTTCTAATTCACTGGAAATAAATTCACAAAACTCGTGTTTGGATGTGTCTTCTAATTTGTAATTTCTACTCTTTAAGTAATTGAAGTGTTTTTCTTTAAAAATATATATATATGGAATATTCTTGTAAGTAAGACCGTTTCTCAAACTGAAAACGTTTGCAGAGTGACCACTACAAAAAATGCACATTTCCTTCCTTCCTGACATAATTTGAATGATGCCAATAGTCAACGAATCGATCGCTAATTTGATAAAATGATAAACTCACCAGGCTGTCAAGTGCTGTTTAAAAAACCAACGTGAGAAGAATTGCCTTCACATAGCTAGCTAAACAACCCCCTGCGCATATGATCATTAAAAAACGCTAATATAATCTAATAATTTACTATTCAAACTAACCCCTTTGCTGGTAAATCACTGTATTCTATCTGCCTAACAAACCATACACTTTATTCGTTTGATATGGTCATTTCATCATTTCTTTTCTTTCTTTCTCTCTTTCTTTCTCTTCTCATCCTTCTCAGGCCTCGACAGTTAATGGCACAATGTAGGACGACATTGACTGTAAGTCACTACATCATTTTTGCGCATGCGCATGCTACGATGCTATCATGAACATTTGCTCCATCCCACATCGCAGAGTCCTATATACAAAAGGTGCAAAGGTTTGGTTGGTGTTTTGAACGCTGCTAAGTAAATATCATAAATTTTAGAGACATTCCGAAAATCGTTGAAAACTGAATAGAAGCTAGTACATAATAATGACTTTTTGATTCTTATTTTCTCATGCGAAATAAATACGTGATCAAATACATTTTGCCATTAGAATACTATTCCATGTAATATTCAGTATTCAACATTCTTTGGAATGGCTGTATGCACGGATATAAATGTATAGTCTTGAAACTACACAAGAAGCGAAATTGAATGGACAAAAAAAATGAATTGTTTTAAGTATTTTTGTGGGGGAAAGGAAGGTTGGGGGGGATGAAGAACTCCATTCAAAGAATATATGCACTCAAATTCTATCCGCACGCTTTGTAAACAAAAAGAATACAGACAGCTATTTACATAGTGAAGATAATGTGGAGTGAACAGAAATGTTAGTCATCTTCTGGTAACCGCGCTTTCACGCACAAACCTGGACAATACTAAATGCCCCGAAATACACGACGGAGAGCAAACTATACTTATAAAATACATCTTCAAAAAATAAAAAAATACAAGTTATATCCTTTTGAAACCTTTGGTTAAGTTAAGCTAGCAAGTTCGTGTAACGTTATTCAAGAATGACAATGCTGTTCTTGGATAAAGTTTGTTGAGACTTTATTTCTTCCATCATGCATTGCGTACTCTTCATTCCTTTGTCGTTTACGGCCATAGCTTGATGTGATCGTTATTACTAGCAGTCGTAACCGTAATCGTAATCGTCTAAATCGCTAGCTAAGCAACGTACTGAACAGCCTTCTGATTAGGTTTGATTTCATATGGCTATTTGTAAAATTTGCTTTCATGCAATTTGGAATGATGTCTTGATGTTGTTTTTGACTTTGAAAACTTGATGCGATGTCATTACGATTACGACAGTGATTGCAATTACGATGATACGTGTATAGCATTTGACGCAGTGCAGTTGCTCTTTCAGCGGACGATAATGATAACATAAAGATAGACATAAAGGTTTTTAATCAAAACGAGAAAGGAAGTGAGACAGAAACCCAAAGCATGATGGCAGGTCAGTGAGGTCTCAGGCCTCCTTCGCGCGCGTACATAGCCTTGGGGTTCCTTTGTCTTACTGACCGAGTGACAATGGGCTCTATTTTTGTTTTGATGATCAAATATTTGAAATGCTTTTATCCGTGATTTAGTAAAGTATTAAAAAATGTCAAGGCTGTGTTTGCGGCGGGGTTTGGCAATGTTAGACAATAGATGTTGATCTCTAAATAGCAAACAAAACGAACTCACAAGCGCGAACTGATAACAACGAAACATGTAATGATAAAATTAATAAAATAATTATAATAGTTATGATAAAAATTAATGCAAAAACAATGATATCATAAACTGTTAGTAAGTTTTAATGATGATGACAGTGATGGCGCATGTTATAGTTAAAATAGCAGAAACAACAACAACAACGACGACAACAAGAACAGCACCAACAGTGTACACCAGTGACAATAATCACTGCAATAAAATTAATAACAGCAAAAAATATCGTCATGATAAAATATATATTACCAGAATAGTTTTAATTCCCGACGACTAAACTGCAGTTTCTTAATAAAATTAACATCTAATTACGGCTAAGTCCGTTAAAAGAGGTCTGAAAAAAAAGTCAGAGTATAGCATAATGTGATTTCTTTTAACAGACGAATCGACGAGACCCTTACAAAGCAGCAGACAGAAACCAACGCTACAGGATATACGACTGAAAAGTTACTTCCACTCGGTCGACACCGACTCTTGCAATTCCTGTGATGGTGTTCGAGTATACTACATGCAAGAATCCACCGCGTGACGTCACAAACACATTCCCTTTTAAGGGAGACTGTAGTCGATGGATCTTGCTGGACAAGCATTCATGCAAGCACGTGACAGGCCACGTGATCAATGCGGTTTGGCGTCAATTTTTATAAAGGAGTAAAAATATTGGAATTGATAATGACTGCACGTGATGTGTCATATGACTCGTCATGTGATTGACGTAATTTTTTATATATGGTGTTGCCATGGCTATAGTGAATTCAAGGGCAAGTATTTCGAAGAATAAGATATTTATGTTGAATAGAGCTCGACAAAACCAAAGAACGGTTGAAATGGCTGCGCTTTTGATAGATTGATAAAATCTAAAGTTGATGAACAAGAATAGAATAATTCCGAGGTCCTGATATATACAGTTAGTGTAACAAGTCCCAGGCCTCTGTGATAGTAACGGTACTAAGAAATGTTGTACATTTAGTAATATTATATTTTAACTATATCAAAGAATTTGCTGGCTTAATTCGATTAGGTTAAATCAATTTGTATCTCCAAATACTAAAAACATTGACAGTTGCCTTATTTGAAAGTTTTGCCCAAATATGGAGTGCGCTCTCCCAAATATGGAGTGCGCTTTCCGCGCAAAGTATTAATAATGTGTTGTTGCTTCAACTACTTAGTATACGAAATATCGTACTTTTTATATACAGAATGGCCGTGTTTACAGTGTAAATTATATATAGAGATATTTATTCATAAAGATAGACTATACAATCTTTCAATTTTGCGTTTACAAGGCTTTGGCATAGCTTGGTAATATTACGACGAGTTGGAGTCAAACTTTGTGGACTTGTCCTTTGTTTAAGTAAAAGTCGAGTTATAAGCTGGATCTAGTCGAGATAACGTTTGAATAAAAACCATTTTATTGAGGTTATCTGTCTACTGTATTGTTGTCGATACCCGGATAGTTTTATGGGACAAAATTGATGGACCTATTCCCATGGCAATCCTCAACTTGGAGGACCAGGGGATTTCCCTTTGTCTGAGTACTACCCTTCGACCTGTTCGACAAGGGTGGCCCTTGCTCTAGCAGTCAAGCAGCCCTATCACGATGATGTGACGATCCCATTCCAGGTGAGTAATGGCAATAACAATAACACGCACATCTCCCATGAAATAACACAAAATTTTGTAGAACACACAAATGGAGCGATGGCAATTTTAATCGCGCCCTCTTATTTCAACCAATCATTTATATTTCCATAGCGCAATCACAATTTCGATATCATTTTGCGGTGCGCTGATTTCAAAACAACTTTCGCTTTAAGGTCCATGCTTCGTGTAATCATGTCCGTCACGCTTTCTTGTAACGCAATCGAGATGTTTAGTCGAATAGAGGTGATTAACAAGCCTCTTTCTTGGAAGTCTGTGCTTGGTTCTTTGTTTCCCGTCATCCTTGCTGGATAATTGCTGGTAGGGACAGTGCATATCATGGAATGCATGGTTGGCTGTCATTTGCAAAATATCAGGAAATTGTACATTTTCCTTTTAAAGAAAATAAAATGAAAAAATGAACGAAAAAATGAATAAATTAATGAATAACGGAATAAATAGAGGATATTACCTGCGCGCGCGGAGATACGAAGCTCACTCGTTCGATATCAATTGAACACGAGAAGATAAAATTCGTATCTCCAAGCGCTCATGTAATATTCTGTTTATTATACAAATTATTATAAACTTAAAACAGCAGCAAAAGTTTAAATATACCTTTATTCAATGGTAACGTGGTAACACACTGGTATTGATCATAATAATATATATAATAAATAACTATAACTTACCTGGACCCATTTTGTAATCAATCTTCTTGGTCTGGCTACCACTGTCTCGCGTACAAATAACAATACCACTTCTCCTGGAATACTAACATACCAGTCAACGTAGGAATGAACTTTCAACATGATCACGTGACATCTCAAATACACGTCACTGATCACGTGATGTTGTAGTGTGATCATTTTATTCAGTGTATTGCTCAGGAATATTGCTACGCTTTTAGCTGTCTTTTGTACAAAACCAATCCGGCCGATCAAAGGAACTTTAGTCACAATTACCAAAGCAATGTCGTCGGGTCCTTTGGTACTGATGTCTGTTGGTATAAGGAAAGATACAAGCCAAAACCACAAGTAACAGGGTGAGAATATCAAATCTTTGACTCTACACGCGAGAGAGTTGTAAACTGTGCAAGGAAAGTCATTGAGAAAAACCCATGCCTTGGACATGGCGTCTTGGAAGCAATAAGTATTATAACGTGTTCCAAAGCAGTGGTTACTCAAAGCAACCAGTCTTGATAGCAACTTGTTCACATCATCTAACAACCAATTAATCATTGATATTGTCCAATGGCGAACGAGTATTGCTCCCTTGATTGACATGACCAAAGGCCAGAGTATTATCTGAATAGAATACTTGATCAAGGTCACGTGGAGTCTATGCTGAGTTGTCACAAATCGTACCGAAGATACTATCGTCTCACCAACGAAGCTTACACTTTTACAAAGGTAAAACCTACTGGATTCAAGTACCCCTCTACGGCTTAGCGCCCTCCAATATCGAATGACTTGACCAAAGGGAGGGGTTACATCAGTGATGTACTTCCATAAGGCTGATATGTACTCGAGAGGGAGACGATGGGCGAAACTTGAAGCAAATATCAACACTCTATACCAGCAATAGACCCAGGAAAGACCAGCCAATGTTACTGCTATGAAGATGGTACCAGGAACAGCAAACAGCATAAGGGTGCCACCAAGTAGCAGCACAGTCCAGGAAGCAACGACCAATAAGATTATTAACTGGAACATTACGTCACAAGAAACAGTGTGATGTCACGATGACGGTTTGAAATCTGTTGTAAAATCAATAACAATCAAAATCAATAACAATCAAAATCAATAACAATGTTGTCTGGTAAAAATAGAAATACCAACGGTGATGATAAAACACTGTTGATACAATGATAAGGCGCCGAAATGAAGAGGAATAAGAGACATCTTTCGCAGTTGAGAATACTAATATGTTCAAATGAAGTATTGTCACACTAAATAACAAATTTTCAAATAACAAATTTCTTGAAACCTGGTCAACATTGTAAAACTATTTGAGCTTTTCAGCATACTTTGTACTTTGGATAGATAATGAGATCAAATAAACACAGCAAAACCTTGAAGCCGAATTATAGCTCATATAACCCTTGAAAACCAAACTCAGGTAGTTAATATATTGAAAACTTCCGATCACAGAATTCACATTTGTCACAACGCAAGCATGAAATCATTTATTACCTGAAAATCATCTAAATGAGCTCACTATTTCAAACCATTCTCCAAAAACTCGCCTCAGTCAGAAAACGAGTTCCCACATCCCTTGCTTTCTTTCATGCCTTCTTTGAAGCCTTTGTGACGAAAGCTACTATGACGTCATTACTAACCACACATGCGCTTCATCAAATTTACAAGAGCGCGCGCATTCCAAAATAATGACTACCTCTGTCCAAAAACACCTTATTGACATAAACTCATACGCTCATGTTCAAAAGAGACCCAACTCTAGTGTATGAAATCTTTTTTATACCAAATTTAAAACATTGCGCTGCCCAAAGACACCTTGACATACAGTCATTATCAAGCGCACGTTCAAAAGAGACTCGAGTCTAGTGTATTAAATCTCTAAGACCGAATTTTAAAGATTGCGCTCTTATCTGGATTGTTGTTTTTTTATATGAACAATATCTCTATAAGTGCTCTTTAACATCCGAGTTGTACTTAACTTTACTTTGAATTAACACTCAATGAATGCTCCGGAAGATCTTAATTTCCTCAATTTTGAAGGACCATCCACTCTTTACTAAACCGATGAATTAGAATTTGCGTTTATTTCTCTTAAAAAGGATTTGAAAATTCTTCCTAAAAGCGTACGTCTTTTAATTTTTTTTAATGATGACAGATATCATTCACTTAAATATAGAGTTTTGTTTGGAAAATTGAATAATATGATCAATGTCTCCTCTTGGGCAATAGTTTTTTGAAAGCATCTCTTATCTCCTTGATTCTAAAGCAGTATATGACTGGATTAACAGCTGCATTTGACAAAAGAAACAATTCAGCTATGGTAAACCATCCACGAATTTCAAGACTAAAATCAGAATTAATAAAAAGAACGACCAATGCTGCTAAGAGGGGCATGTAACACAGCACAAAGGCTCCGATAATGTAGTACATTACATTGACGGTCTTTTTAAACCTTGCCATATCCAATGGTTGTTCTGTACTCTGCTGATGCTGCGCTTGTATCTGTACAGAGTGCCTGTGCACAACTTTGGATACTTTTAATATGAAAAATGCGTCCATGGCTAGGAAAAGAGACAAGAGTACAATTCCAGTCATTAAAGTGTAACTGTTGAAAAACCTGAACCTACAGACCACGATGAAAATACAGAATCCCCAGTATAGAAATAGAAGGAAAGCGTAGCGCTTAGTTGTAACGTATTGTTTGTATCGTAGATGAAGTTGTACTGCAAGGAATCGATCTGCAGTGATAGTCGATAAAGTTAAAAACGATATCATCGAAAGAGCTGTGCCAGTTGCAACGTATAGCATGCCAGTCGGACAGAAGACATGGACATCACGCGCGTGCTCCGACACTTTGTAAGAAATAAAACTTGGTAAAACCACCACACCTGTACTAAAGTCTGAAACCGCGAGCCCAACTATCAGGAAATTAGACGGTGTCCTTAGAGATGGTGTCTTCAATAAAGTAAACACGACAATACTGTTACTCAATGTTGCTATGAGACTGAGAAAAATACTCAGTGAGGTCACCACAAGCAAGTAATAATCGTAGCTGACATCGCGAGGAATATTCAAGAAGTAAGTCTGCATAGGTGGGCAAAGAGATGTCCAGTTTGGGTCCATCGCTAACAGAGTTCCTAATTTTATGTCGAGCTTTCACTGTTAATACGTCGATGAGTACTGATCCTGAGCAAACTCATGATCACTTTGAGCCGTCTATCTTCCCGATATTGTACTAAGGATCGACTTTTCTTGAACTTCCGATCATCCATTGGTAACTCTTTCACTAACCGAACAATGAAAAAAACTCCATAATGTCAATAACGCAGGAAAACACTTAAATAGCAACTTGCATCAATAAACTTCTACATACCTCAATTGAGAATATGACGGGTGACATTTCAAGTTGATCATGCATTATAACAGCATCTCGGCTGAAGAGGGATTCTACTCCATATCTTTACAATATTATTTAATTAATACTCAAACGTCAGCGTGGGTATTCGAAAGGTCAATTTTAACCACCGCGCAAATAACAAATTGTACGTTGATTGTACGTCAATATAGACATATACATAGAAAATATGTGGCCACACATTACTATTCGTACGTCAACTTAGACTCCTGTAAGAACAGAAAATACATGGCCACGTTGTTTTTTATTCTTTTTTCTCACTTTCGGACCCCTCATCATGAAGTCTCAAATATTTTTTTGAAAGTACATAACCTATCTTTTAATATTACTCTCTGGCAAAGATGATGCATATATAGAGCGAAACCTAATTCGCATTACATTTAGGTCAAATATTTTCGTATAAGTGTGTTATTGAAATAGCGCAACATGCCGAGACATGCATTAAAATTTGATATGACATTTTTTGGCCAACGGGTCATTTTCATTGCGCCAGTCTTCCTGTTTGCTTCGATCCTGTTCATCTTACTAAAATATGGCAGATAAAATCGTCAATTCCTGCTTGCTGTCCAAGACTGTCATCACTCTATCCATCTTAAGTTTGTTGTTGTGCTGTGGTGTGTTTTTGAGAACAGAATTGATGCTAAACGAGCTGTATTCAAGAGAAATCACGCTGCCAGACAAGATGACTTCAAAAAACTCCATAAACGATGGCATGAATCGACTCGACAAAGTTCAACATTCACAACAAAAAGAAGGAAAACAAAATGAAGAAATTCTGAAAAGAAAAGTAAGACATGCTACAAATGGAATCAACAACACAGTTAAGTTACTGACTGATATATTCTCAAACAAAATCCATCAAGAGGTCGGCAAAGCAGTAGCCAGTTTACAAGCTGCCAAATACTGGATTCCAGTTCCAGGGCCTCCCGGTCCACAAGGAAAACCTGGCCCAAGAGGACCGAGAGGACGAAATGGTAGAACTGGACGTCGCGGAAAACGAGGACCACGTGGTTTTCCTGGAAAGATCGGGCTTCCTGGTCCTAGAGGAATGCCAGGACCACAAGGACCGAAGGGAGATCCTGGTCCTTCCTTAGCACGTCCAACAGTTCTCATTTCACCGGCACATCTCATCGTCAATGAAAGCCAGTCCGCCATCTTACATTGTTCATCTAGTGGTTATCCTCGACCTGATGTTGTCTGGAGTAAAAACAACGGTACATTACCACACAAACGAGCAGTAGTTGATAGCACTGGCAAACTTGATATCAAACACGTGACWVYCAATGACTCAGGAATCTATCAGTGTAAGGCTTCTAATATTCTTGACAGCACACAAACAACAGCGAAACTCCAAGTGAACTTCCACCCACGGCTGACCTTAAACAAACAATCAATCTACAAAAAGATTGGTGATAACATTCTTCTCCCTGCGTGTCACGTGACTGGATTCCCTAAGCCAAAAGTCACATGGTCCAAGAGTATTGGTTCTTTGCCTAAAAGTCGTTCTGCTATTACGGAAGGGCAACTTGCTATACTTAAATCGACAAAACATGATTCAGGGACATATGTTTGCAAAGCTGAAAATCTCCTTGGTTCTGTAGTAGGATCAGTTGTTGTGAATGTTATTGATCTGCCTGTGTTTGTTGTCAAGCCACCCACGTCGTATACAGTTCTTGCAGAGAAAATCGTAGTGTTAAACTGTACTCTGCTAAAGGTGACCCTCAGCCTGTCATTAGTTGGAGAAAAGACAACGGACGTTTTCCTGTTGGTAGATATGAAGTGAAAGATGATTCTTTGATTATAAGGAACGTCAAGGAAACAGATTCAGGCGTGATTGTGTGCACTGCTACGAGTGCTGGAGTGTCTGATACAGAATCTAGAACAACGCTGACTGTACAACATGCAAAGGATTGCGCAGATCTTTACAAATCAGGAGAGAGACGTAGTGGTGTGTACACAGTAAAACCGGACAAGCAGTCTGCATTTCAAGTCTACTGTGACATGACAACTGACGGTGGGGGTTGGACTGTGATCCAAAGAAGACAAGATGGATCGGTTGATTTCTATCGCGATTGGCAGCAATACAAAACAGGTTTTGGAAACCTGAATGGCGAGTTTTGGTTGGGTAACGATTACATCCATCGACTGACAGCAAGAACAGCGTCGAGTCTGCGCGTTGAGTTAGAGGACTGGGACAGAACTAGGAAGTATGCCAAATATGGTAGTTTTAGTGTTGGCGATGAATCAGACAAGTACAGGCTGAGGGTTGGTTCGTATTCAGGTTATGCTGGGGACTCGTTATCATATCATAACAATATGGCGTTTACTACAAAAGATAGAGATAACGACAAGAGTAGTGGTGAGAACTGTGATACTCAATATACCGGTGCCTGGTGGTATGACGATTGTTATTCTTCTAATCTGAATGGAAAGTATCTTGGAAGCAAGTACTCCACTGACGGAATGGTTTGGAGATTCTTTCATGACAACCTCCTAAGCTTGAAAAATTCCGAAATCAAGATACGTCCAACTGTCTTTTAGATTTCATATGACTATATAAGCTCAATAAACATTGACAGACATAGCAACCAATTAAAAGCTAACTGTTTTTGATTAAAACTGATCTGAGTCATGTTTTGGACACCAAATTTAATTGTATTTAAACTAGTGTATTGAAAAATATAATGTCCAATATATTTGTTCCGTAATATATTTCTCTTCGTCTTTGTTAATTCGAGGGCGGAAAACGGGCGGATAGCGGATAAATTATTTTGATCAGCAATTTTCGCTGTCTTGTGTGTCTCCCATGAAGATTGGAAACTAGTTCTCATTAGTTCTTTAGTCAAGTACTTGGCACACTGTTGTGAAATAAAATTAATTTGTCTAATTTTTGATCATTAATAGCTTAGACATACAGCCCAGCTTGAAAGGTTTGTCCACTTAGAGAGTTATTTTAAACGTTCCAATTGTCACGTGTCTTGACGTTTCTAGTCCTTATAGAGTTTTAAAAATACCTTGTCATGGCCTTATTTTTTTCAATGACATCTAATTTTCACTAATAATGTAAACGATACTGAATTTCAGATGAATAAAAGTTGTTTTAACTCGTGTTCGCTACATTCGCTCACTAATGAGAGATGTAAAACCCGAATCCCTGTGTGCCCATGTAATATTCTCTATATTTCTCTCATGTCGTGAATCGTGGTCATTAAATCTGCACGAATATAGCTGGATTAACATGAAATATTGACCTCTAATGACGTCATACAGTAAATGATACTCAGAGACCATATTGCATGCTGAAAGACGAATAAACACTGCCAATAAAGATATTTCATATAGAGTCAGTCTAATCTTCCAGTTCGTTGGGAGTTGTCGTCCTATTTGCTAGGATGGCAGATAAAATCGTCCATTCCTGCTTGGTGTCSAAGATTGCCATCGCTCTATCGATCGTCAGTTTGTTCTTATGCTGTGGTGTGTTCATACGAACAGAATTGATGCTAAACGAGCTGTATTCAAGAGACATGAAGCTGCAAGACAAGATGACTTCAAAACACGACATAGATCGACACGGGAAAGATCATCATTCAAAGGAAACCGTTACGAATCAAGAAGTAAAAGAAAATAAAGAACTTTTGAGAAGAAAAGTGAGACACGCTACAACTGGTGTCAATAGCACTGATATGTTACTGGTTAATATATTAACAAAGMAAATCCATCAAGAGGTCAGTAAAGCTCTTCAGGCTGCCAAGCATACGATACGGGGACCTCCCGGTCCACAAGGAGTTATGGGTAAAACTGGACGGCAAGGACCCCGTGGTTTTCCTGGAAAGATCGGGCTTCCTGGTCCCACAGGAATGCCAGGACCACAAGGACCAAAGGGACCGAAGGGAGATCCTGGTCCTTCCTTAGAACGTCCAACAGTAGTCATTTCGCCAACACATCTTATTGTTAATGAAAGCCAGTCCGCCATCTTACATTGTTCCGCTAGTGGTTATCCTCAACCTGATGTTGTCTGGAGTAAAAACAATGGTACATTACCACACAAACGAGCAGTAGTTGATAGCACTGGCAAACTTCATATCAAACAAGTGACTGGCAATGACTCTGGAATCTATCAGTGTAAGGCTTCCAATCTTCTTGGCAGCGCACAAAGCACAATGAAACTTCAAGTGAACATTCGTCCAAGGTTGACCTTGAACAAAGGACCAATCTACGAAAAGATTGGTAAAGATATTCGTCTGCCTACGTGTCACGTGAATGGATTTCCTAAGGCAAAGGTCACGTGGTCCAAGTCTATTGGTTCTTTGCCAAAAAAACGTTTCCTTGTCAAGGATGGACAGCTGACTATAGTAAGAGCGAAGAAAGACGATTCAGGGAAATATGTTTGCAAAGCTAAAATTCCTTTTGGTTCTGTTGTAGGATCAGTTGTGGTAAATGTTATCGATCTACCTGTGTTTGTTGTCAAGCCTCCATCGTCGTATATTGCCCCTCCTGGTTCAACCGTAATGCTTAACTGTACAGCTAAAGGTGACCCTCAGCCTGTAATCACTTGGACAAAAGACAACGGACTTCTTCCTCTTGGTAGATATGAAGTGAGAGATGGGTCTTTGATTATAAGGAACGTCACGAAAACAGATTCGGGTGTGATTGTATGCACTGCTACGAGTGCTGGTGTTTCTATTTCACGTGCAAATACGACATTATCAATGTATTTTAAAGATTGCGCAGAGATTTACCAATCTGGACATAGACATAGCGGTGTGTACACAGTTCAACCCGACAATCAGCCTGCATTTCAAGTCTACTACGACATGACAACTGATGGTGGGGGTTGGACTGTGTTCCAGCGAAGACAAGATGGATCGGTTGATTTCTATCGCGATTGGCAGAAGTACAAAACAGGTTTTGGAAACCTGAATGGCGAGTTTTGGTTGGGTAACGATTACATCCATCGATTGACAGCAAGAACAGCTTCGAGTCTGCGCGTTGATCTAGAGTACTGGTACGGAGCCAGGACTTTTGCCAAATATGGCAATTTTAGTGTTGGTAACGAATCAGACAAGTACAGGCTGAGTGTTGGCTCGTATTCAGGCAATGAGGCCGATCCGCTATCATATCATAACAACATGGCGTTTAGTACAAAAGATAGAGATAACGACAAAAACAGTAATCACTGTGCCAGACTTTCTAACGGTGGTTGGTGGTATAATTCATGTCAACATTCAAATCTGAATGGAAAGTATCTAAACAAGAAGACGCCGCGGCGGCAGAATATTGGTTGGCGCCATTTTCATAGCAATTATWTCGGTTTGAAGAAATCTGAAATGAAAATTCGTAGCGTACAGTAAGAGAATTCATAATTGTTACTGATTTTCTTTCGATTGTTGGGGAAATGTACACAAAAATGTTATTAAAAAATAATTTAATAGGATATTAATAAAAAGTTATCCACACTAAATAAACTTGAATAAACACACATGCACACTTGCTTTTTTTTTATTTGATGAACGTAGTTGAAGCAAATGCGACCAGGTACTGCTACRTAAGTTTGATTTTAATRTTTTTATACGTCTGMGCTTTCGCTGTACTACAGCATCGTCAGAGACAGATCGGTGAATGAACACAAAACGAACAATATGGTAATAAGGAATCATAACAATGGCGATTAWAAGATAGAAGCAAGAATATAACTAAAGCAATAAGTCCTTCAGTTCACTGCACTCCTCGCGGGAGYTAATTTAGGCTCTAGTGCCTTTATRTACATGGCCTCTACGAGGCGCAAGTTCACAGGGTCTTCACGGGSTAGTTGATTAAATATTTCTAATATCATCATCATCATCATGCTAATCATCATCATCATCGGTCTGCTTCACACCTAGCCTCCTTCGCAGGCTACTCCATCGGAAACGGACATTTTTCTCTTCTTGGTCTTCCTGTGTTCATAATCTTGACCGAGAAAAACTGGTGTCGAGAGATTAGGAACTTTTCCTTCCTTCCTAGCCCCCTCCCCCTCCGGCAGCTTTGTTTGCCTTAACACAGGAATCCCAGAGTAGAGTTGACTGCGAAGGATACTGCTTCACACCATGTGGTGCATAAAGTTTCCGTATCCGTCCTCCAGGCTATCTCGGTCTGTTTTAACTGCTCTAATTTTAACCCATGACATAGTAATACACCATAAAATATTGATTTGATGTTGACATAGCCCAATAACCTAGGAATATAATCACAAAGTAATGCAAACAAAAGTCTTCATCAATCATAGACTGTATTATTAAATTTGATTTTAATTATTTTCAAGGGCACAAAAGATTGATTGAGATCAGATAAACTTTGCCAGTTTGACTGCTACAAGAACGCTTGAAAAATCAGATCGCGAACGATCAAACTAATTCTATCATCATAATAGGGACTTCTTCACCTTCTGCAACTCTTCAAACCTTAGAAAGTACAATTGAGGGACTATTTCATAAACATTTACTCCAAAAAGGGTTATTCACTGTCCCTTGGAAACTAAAAACAGGAAAGAATTATTGACAAGCTGTCTACAACGTATTTTACGTTTGATTTTGGAACATCATGGATGGTTGTTTTACCAAAAAAGTCGATTACAACAAAATAAGAATCCCTCTGGCAGCCATCGTTGCAATTGTAGTACCAAATGTTATCGGTAACATTATTACCATAGTAGTGATTCTTAAAACAAAATCTCTTCACAAATTCTGCAATTTTTTGCTTGTTAATCTTGCTTTTTCAGACATGATGATGGGAATGGTGGAACTTGTAGGTCAAAGTTACTTTGAAGGACTTTTAGCCCAAGGAAAACAAACTCAAAGGCAGAACGGAACGGTAATCAATGACTCCGTCAGCAGATCGGGAAGGATTCGAGTATTTGCATTTCCTATGCTACAAATTTCTCTTTTAACTATTACTGTTATTTCAATCGATCGATACCTTGCTGTGGCCAAACCATTTCAAGCTATGCAGAAAGGAAGAATCCGACATCTTAAATTGATTTTACCGTGTATTTGGGTGGTAGGATTTGCCCTTACCATCCCAATCTTTTTAACTTTCTTYAATACTATTAATTTTTACAAGGACCTGAACGAAGACTTGTTTTCTACCATGGGTACTTTACATTTCATTTCCTCCTATCTTCTTCCTCTGATTATACTACTTTGGACGTATATCAGAATTGTATGGATCTTAAAAAACAGACAGCTTCTAGTAGGATTGTCAAATAACCAGAACACAACGCTAAGAGCCCAGAAGCGAGCGACAAAGCTCCTTGGGTCAGTTATCATAGTCCACAATTTGTGCTTTTTCCCGTATGCTTTTGTCACTTTTGCTGCGTCTCAACCGTTTAGCTGTAGTATAATAACGGAGCCTTATTCTTACTTTATCACGCATTATTTTCTTCTTGTAAGCCCAGTTATAAACCCTGTTATTTATTTTTTTCACAGTCAAGTGTTTAGAGATGCTTGTAGGGCAATATTTATCGGAAAAAGAAGAAATTAGAGTTTTTTTCTAATAAACATAATTCAGATTTTTATTAAACTCCTCAGGGTTCTTCATTATACAATACATCGAATATATATTGACATCTAGGAGTAGGAATTATTTCAATTTAATTAAAAAGGCCTTTTTACTCAAATCTTGTACTTCATCAAATGATCGGCCTATTTCAATAACTTCAATCAACTAGCTATATTAAAATATGTATAATATATAGAGGATATTACATGCATGGGCGCGCGGAGATACGGATTTAATGTTGAAAAGATCTCTCACGAGTGAGCGTAGCGATTTTCAACACGAGAAGATAAAATTCGTATCTCAAAGCGACCATGTAATATTCTGTTTATCATATAATTAAATATGAAAGCAAATTATGTCGGAAAATATCTTTTTTCTTACTACCACTATATAGAGAAACCTCGAATGTGAAAATAACATGTTATTTTCACTAGTGAAAATATCAATTTTACGTAATGGAGAAATATAGGTATTTCAAAAATAATTATATGATAAATACTTGTATTAACAAATATCCCGTCGACTTTGCTGAAAGTAGTGAACTATATGAAATA